AAAAAAAAGGTACTAAAAGTCTAAAATTAAATTCCAGCCCAAACCTGAGGGTTAGTAATAAATATGGCAGATAGTTTGGTACAACTTCAAATTAGCACTTTTCAATTTTATATACAATGTCTGTGAGTGTATATACAATATATTCATGAAGTTTAATTCTATTAGGAATTTCTAATAATTCTAAGCCAGAAGGTAGTCTTAAAATTCATCAATGCAGGACAGCAGGAAAAATAAGTAGGTTAAGAAACTTGCCCATGGACACAGAAACAGTAGGTGATAGAACAGGAACTTGAACCTAGCTCTGTGTAACTTAAAATTAGACTCTTAACCACAAAGCTGTGATATAGTTGTGGGTAGTGGGACACACCTTTATCTGTGAGCTCCCTAGCAAAGAAAGAAACCAGATAGGCAGAAGAACTATGCATTTCATCTGCCAGACACAAAGCCTGTCAAATGTTATAACTTTCCTGATCCTAAGACCCAAGTATAGCAGGTAGAGACTGATGGGAGATCACAGGTTTTCTGTGTGCTTTATTTTCAGACACTTTATCACAATTATCACACATACCCAGATCATATCCCAATCTCATGTGGTAGGGATTGACTCATTAAGTCAGTCTGGGAAGGCCTGCTTCACAACTCTCTGCTGTCTACTTAAAATTTGGAACTGCATTTCTGTGAGCATACCCAGTGATTCCAAAGACCTCCTCCTAATTATAGGGCATTCTGGGGCTGTAACTGAGCGAAATTATCAGCCCAAATATGTAATGCCTACAGAACACTCTTACGGAGAAAGGCTGAGCTCTGGCAAGGGCCTGTTCTTTGACACACTCCAGAGACAAGGGTGTAACGATGGCTCGGGGCCAGCCTTTTCCTTACAGGATGAGTGCAGGCATCCCAGAGCCCACTCCACCTCCCTCAGAGCCCCTCTCTCCCTCCAATAGAAAGGAAGTGTGATCTGATGTTGAGCCCTATTGAAGTACTATCACTATGGAAATGTCCTTATATTTGAAAGTTCCCTGCACCCTGGCTGTTAACCCACTTAAATATGTGTTACCATGAATACTGATAAAAATGACAGAATCAGGCCAACCCGTGAAGTCATTATTATAGAATTTGATCTGTGTGGCCTCTGCCTGTCCATTCCTCTTCAGTGCTCAGACCATCAAACTGTTATCTTAAATTCAGTAAAGCAAAGCTTATGTCTCTCCTTTCCTATTAGCTTTTTCCATCTCCTGAGCCCCACTGACCAGCAGCTTCGTGCTCCCCAAACCTGGTGCTCAGCTCTTACCGAGTTTCACATCGAGGCACCCACCAGAGCGCCTGGCGTCCCACCTTTCCAGCAGCCCTGCTCTGCTCAGGCCTCTCGCTTGCTGCTCTCTCATGGCTCCCGACTCCTCCTCTCCATGCCTTCCTCCTCTCCATGCCTCTCGCTTGCTGCTCTCTCATGGCTCCCGACTCCTCCTCTCCATGCCTTCCTCCCAGCTGGAGACCTCAACTGTGGCCCTGGCGATAGACTCTGAATTTCAAATATCCAAGTTCATTTCATCTACTAACTTTTCATAGCCTTCACAATTAATTCCAGGCTCATGAGCCTGGCTCTCTCTCTCTCTCTTTCTCTCTCTCTCTCTCCTTTTTCTTTAAAGATTTATTTATGCATACAGAACTGGGGTACAGGCCAGAGGTGCACAGAGCAGTGAGAGGATTCAGCAGCCTCCCTGCCCTGTCTCCTTCTTTCTTGGAGACCCAAAGCCCTCTGCTCCAGGTTATCTGTCTCCATCCTGTTCCACACAAATGTCACACTTGCTTCCTCCTTGCTGAGTCTGAACATCAGGGCCCAATGGCCGGTGGTCCCCTTTATTGCCAGCCACCATGTACACGAATGTGCACACATACTGCACGGTCCTCACCTCCTCTTGCACACTTCACACCTCATATATGGTACTATATTGGTTTTGTTTTCATTATGTAGGTAGTTTTCTTAGTTTTCACAGGGGATTACAAGTTCCTTCGAAACAAGGGTAGCATCTTCCTCACGTACCCTCATCATGCCTGACATAAAGCCTGTACTTAGGAATCCTTCTATTTCCACAGTTTAGAATAACCATCTGTTCTCATCCTGCAGCACTCCAGTCGCCCATTGAGTATCAGCGGAAAGAAAGGAGCACTGCTGTGATAAGGTCGCAGCCTGCAAGGGGGCCCCAAGCCAGCCCCAGGCCCTACTCCTCCGTCCCCATGGGCTCTGAGAAGCCCCCGAAGGGCTCCAGCTATAACCCACCTCTGCCACCTCTGAAGATATCTACCTCCAACGGCAGTCCAGGGTTTGACTACAGCCAGCCTGGGGACAAGTTTGAGGCCAGCAAGGTAAGTGACAGCAGTTACGAGGAGCCTCCCCATTCTGAGGGCCCACTTTACAAAGTCGTGTCTTTTTAAGTTGATCATTTTAGCAGCACCAGCCCACTGAGTACTGCCTAGTCTTAATTCTTTCTTTCTTCCCCCACCAATTGAGTGAGTTAGAGAATTTCCTCTGGCTCAGACACTCGATTAAAGTGAGTCCTGTCATTTGTAGAAATTATACCAATGAAATAGACAGTTATGCTGTCCACCAAGTAGACCATCCAAAAGTCACAGCTGCAGGGTCTGACATCCTAAAAAGAGGGCCCTTCCTGGTGGTGAGCTGCTGAAGTGAGTTCATGCCTCTTCACTCTCGCTGATGTAGTGAGAAGTTGCTCATCTAGGTGTGAATAGAGAAGCCAACCTTGACTCCAACACTTCTCATGAATATCATTGATAATCCACAATTCAAGCATCACTATGAACATAGTCCCAGACGTCAATTTAGATCCAGCCCACCAGGGCATTTGACACAGCTCGATAGCAGGAAACGCTGCCAGATTGTCTGCTTTCCATTCTAAATTCAGCAACTCACTTGTTCTAGAACCTCAGCAAGTTCCCTAATCTCCTTAGCCTAGAACTATATTTTTGACCTGCTTATTCCAATTTTATATTTTTTTTTACCCAGGTGATTAAATGATACTGACTTCTTTTTAATTTAACCTATTAATGTATAGGTTAAATTCAGTTTGACAGTACCTGTACTCGTCTATTTTATCACATCACCTGGAACTTGTGCACCAGTGAGTTGGTTGCAGTCACGTTGGCACCGCCATTTTGTCAAATTTGCAAGAGAGTTTCCCACTGTACTGAGCGCTGCAGTTCCTCTACAAGCACTTTCCCTTCTGCAGTCATGTGAAAAGGCCCCAGAAACCATGTCCCTCATATGATGAGAAAGGGCACCTGGGGGTTCTGTTCCCCCAGGAGCTGGTGAGCATGGGTCATGCTCTTTCCTTGGACTTGGGCAAATAGTTACTCCTTTCTCAGTGAAGGCCAGAATGTAGCATAAGACCAATGCTTTTTCTTTTTCTTTTTTTTTTTTTTAAAGATTTATTTATTTGTGCATACAGAACTGGGGTACAGGCCAGAGGCTCAGCGGCGGCAAGAGGCTTCCCCAGAGACAGAGTGGGGAACCAGGCAGATCGACTACTGAGGGGAGCAGTGGGCAGGTCAGGAGAGGTCTGCCACGCCATGTGGTCACCTCCGGGGCAGGCGGGAATTGAACTCATGCAAAAGCGGCTTCAGATTCTCAGTGCTGTGCTTTAACCCACTGCGCCACCAGGGAGGGCCAAGACCAATGCTTTTTCAAAAGAAAGGGAAAGCTTTCTTTCTATTGAGGGCTTGTCGCCTCTGACATGACCTTTGCCCTAACCTCACCTTGTCCAGGAGCTTACATGCCCAGTGCTTCCATTGGTCAGAGACTGCTTGTGGGAAGCTTCTGTCTAGGAAAGGGTAGGCTGCCCTCTAGGAAAGGATTTCAGGTTGAAGGTGTGTCTTCACCTTACCTCAGCCAGGCAGTCCCTCTACCTGTTCACCCTTGATTATCACATTGAAGGAGATATCACTATACAAAAACAGTGCATCTATCCCATTGCTCCAGTTAGTCTTTTGCCTGCTGTTTGCCCTGTGAGCAGGCAGTGAGGCTTTTTACCTGGCAGGAGAGTCCAGAACAAGACATGTGAACCAGCCTTCTCCTGTCTGTCCCCTGTCACCCTTGCCTCCTGCCAGAGCGACCTGGGAGGCTGCAATGGAACCTCGTCCATGGCCGTGATCAAAGATTACTATGCACTAAAGGAGAATGAAATCTGTGTGAGCCAAGGTGAGGTGGTCCAGGTCCTCGCCGTCAACCAGCAGAACATGTGCCTGGTCTACCAGCCTGCCAGTGACCATTCCCCCGCGGCCGAAGGCTGGGTCCCAGGCAGCATCCTGGCGCCCCTCACCAAAGCCACGGCAGCAGCAGAAAATAGTGACAGCAGCCTCAAGTAAGTGCCTCATTGGCTTCCCCGGGAAAGGAGTATGTGGATTAAAAAAATCCAAAAGCAAAGAACGCAAACATGCAAACACACGCTAGGGAATTACTGCTGCTTGCTCTCGACAGCGCCACTGGACGCAAGGTCTGAGTGCCGGACCACCAGCAGGGCCTCCAGGCTGGATTGTTCTGGGCATTGGTTTTATTGTTTTGGGGGGTTTTGTTGTTTTGGGAGTTTTGTTGTTTTGGGCTTTTTTGTTTTGTTTTTTGGTGGTGGTGATTTTTCTTTCCTTTTTGTTTATAATTTCCTATTCATTTTTTCCTCTCCCCCCAGCCCCCACTAAGAACCCTACTGAAACCCTAGGTGACAAAGGCATGCCTTCCGTTGCTCCATTTGACCTACCACAGGATTCACTGGACTGGACTTCTATTTATATTGTATTGAGTTACTGATAGATATATATATTTTTTTGATTGACACCCAAAAACGACCTTGGCACAAATGCCAGACCTGTACAGGTCAGAGGCCCGCTGCTTCTCCCAGGAGAGAGGAAACTTTTTGGTTGTCTATGGCAATTCCTCTGTACAGATTGTAACTTTTTTTTTAATGTCCCCCCTCCCCTGTCAGTTTAATATATGTTCATGGTCATTTGTAAGATATTTCTTTTCCTTATTTTGGTTGTGAAGACCTTCCGAACACATTCCTGTATAAAGTATTTTGCACTATTTAAAGAAACCCATATGGATGAAGTCAGGTTGTGCAATATAATGGAGAGTCACAATGTTCATCATTGTACCTGTAATGTAACTAATTTTAAATGTACTATTTTAAATATGTAAAATAAATTTTCACCATGAGCATGTTTTCATGAGCTTAAAGACTAGTTGACCCTTTTCACAATTCCAGGACTTTTAATATGCAAACAATTCTTTTTATTTTTTTCTTTTCTGTGTTTTTAGGAGTTGGTTGAGTGCACTGGCAGTTTTTTCCTACATGAAAAGTGCCTTTGTCCCTAAAGTTGCACAGCAGCTTTAGACCCTTCCTTTCTAAACAGCCTCCGGTGGTTTCCTCTAAACTCTGACAAGAGAAATGATGCAGATTGGATGCCACCCACTGGGCCCTCTTGAGGTTGGATGTCAGTTAACGGCTAGAGTAGGCACCAGAGTTTGGCTTGCACCCCCACACCCCACTGCTCTCCACTCTGTGGTCACCCGTGGCCGGGGGTGGAAGGAGCTCCCGTGAGACCTCTGAACAGGTGCACTAACAGCACTGTCTTCTTTGGCCTGTCACTAAGTTGGGGTGCAGAAGCTACTGACATCACCCTGGCCATTCAAGGTACTGCAGGCCCAACTGGAAAATAGCAATGGCCCCCCAAGGTCCAATACACCCCGTTCCTTTATTCTAAAGACACTTGTTTCCAGAAGCCTTGGGAATAAAGACCCTCAAAGCACTGAATTTCTTAGTGGCCAGTGGCCTTGCAGACATAACTGTTGGTGATCTGTGACCTGATGAGCCAGGCACCAGCACTCTTCTCTCCTCACCCTTGGGCCTTTTAGTCACTTTGGTTCACACCTACCATGGGAGCGAAAGAGGAATGTCAGGTTGCAAGACTCCAATGCAGTTTGGTCACCTGGGTGCGCTGGGTGCCACTCTTGCACAGGGTTGGTGGCGGTGGGCCAGAGCAACTGGCCAAGCAGGTCATCAGCAGCTCTCAGTGAGGGGCATCACCGCACCCTCCCCAGGTCTTGCTGGGGCCGCAGGCCACAGTGGTCCTACCCACAGGATCAGTGTCACTGAAAGCTTGTTTCCATATCCTTCCCTGGACTTGTGGCCAAGACATGGATGCTCCCCAAAACCATGGTGAAGAGTTCTGGGAAGAAGAATATAAAATTGAAACTGTCCTGCCACTTGTCTATGTTGAGACTTCCTTCTGAACATTATTTGTAACATTTCCAGTTTCTCACCAAGCACACTGACTGACCCAGGGGGTAATAAACACAGACTCACTCCCCCACCACGCTGGCATACTGTGTGATCTGCCCTGAGAATACTTTTGGCAGGGACCTCCCTGATTCAAGATATTCTCAGAAGGAGCCAGGGATATGGACTTGGAGATAAAGAGATGGCAATAAAGTATGAGGTTAATAGAGTGATATCTTCTAAAGTTAGCTCTCATGACTAACCATTGGAGTGAGGAGCTGGTATGCAAGGGATTTAGGAGCCTGCCCACTGAGGAGGTACAAAAGAAGGTCTGGCCAAGAAAATGTTAACTTCTGAAGGGGCATAAACTCCCAGAATATTGAAGAACTTGACTGTGACAGCTCTTTCCCACTCCAAAAGTTAATTGTTGCACTTGTGTGTACGTGGTGAATGCTGTGGAACACCTTCCTCAGAACATCCTAAAATTCCTAATGTTTCTGGAGTTTTGTGGAGGAGAAGCTATCTACCTTGGAGTACCTTCCATCCTCCTAAATCCCAGGTGCTTCCCTCTGCTCCCCTCCTTAGTGAGCACTCATTTCATGGAGCTCTGTCTGGACAGGCCTAAATTTGACAAGCAAACAAATCTTAAGGGAAGGCGACCTCACTTCTTCCAGACAAAGCTAGCACTTGGTACACTCCGTGACCTTACCCGAGATGGATGCTGCCTCCCCAGGGTCCCTGGTGCTCTTTGCGGCTTGGCTTTTGGTGTCTTTGGCTTGAATTCTGACATATGTGGAACTGAAGGGCTCTGCTCGGAGCTTCTCTTTGCAGGTCTGTGAAGAAGTAGCTCCTAGCCCCCTCCTGGCAGGAAAGAAGTTAGGGTGGGGTGAAAGACCATTGCCGTCTCACCCCTCTGGGTATTCTCTCCACAGGAAAACGCTAGGCAGACTCATCCTGAAATATCCAGAATAGTGCCTGCACTGTCCAGTGCCCCCAGAAATCCTCTCTTTACTGCACAACCCAAACGCACATAATGAGACGGACACCTTACAATCATCCCATGGGGGTCTTTGTGTCAGCTCCAAGGAAAGTAAAGGTGGCTTATGCATGCTAGGATATACCTCCTTACTTTCCCGTGTTACAAGCTAGCGTTCTTCTTCCACCCAACACACCCTTCAGTAAAGGAATCCCTCAGGCCTATAGAGCCTCATCATTATGATAAAATGTTTCCCTTGGTAGAGTTTAAAAAACAAACAGAACTCTTATCTTCCTCAAATGGTGAAGCCAACCTTGCACATCTGTCAGGAGGGGTCAGAGTTCATCCTCACTCACTTCCAGTTGGCAGTGAGATCGGCTGCCAGCCACCACAGAGCTCACGTGCAGGTTGGAGCCTCCGAAGCTGGGGCTCGACTGGAGCACCTCACCTCCTGACTCACCCAGGGGTGGCAAGGCCACCCACCACCTCACTCTGCCCTGAGCTGCCATTTTGATTGGTGCATTTTTTGGTACAACAGGAAGTCATGTTCATGGCATACTCTACGCATGAGAAAGCGGGCGGAAGTGGAGAACACGGGTAAAAATGAAGCCACAGGGCCTCGTAAACCCAAGGATATTCTGGGCACCAAAGTCTCTGTTAAAGTGAGTAAGGTATTCCGGAGCTGTGTCCCACCTCTCATCTACTCCCACCCTGCAGCATTCTCACAAGACAATTTGGGTGGATGGGATTTTTTTTTTCCCAGTGTGGGGATTAAAGGGGAAATAGTTTAGCAGGATTTTGCATGCAAGATCAATTTATTTTTTATTTTTTATTTCTCCTGGCAACTTCGATTCAAATAAGTAAGTATCTCTTTCTCTCTTTTTTTTCCCCCCCTTTGGTACTTTTCTCTTTATACTGTGCAGATGTTTTATAGCAAAATTATCTGCAGCATTATTCTCTTAGAAATGCAAAGTGCTTCACTCATTCGGTACCCTAGGTTTGAAAATACATACAGGGTGAAGAGACTAGGGATGCTTTCCAAACCCCCAACACTGAGGTCTGAGGTTTGGAATTCAAGGGCAACTGTGTCATTTGTAAAGTTTCATTTCTTTTCCCCAGAATTCAGACAACACCCCTTTTTAGCCTGTGCTTGGGCAGGAAGGGAGACACATTGGTGGAACCCAAGTTAGTGCCTGTAACAATCCACTTTATCTTACCTCAGTGATTCTGAGCTTGGCAGACCTTTGAAACAAACAATGCTATCTGGTTTAAGTCGGGCCCTCTGGATGATGGAAATTACTTGGCTGATGTTTAAAATTGCTACAATGTGTGATTATCTACCTGGCACTTTTCCCCTTCCTGGGCAAACCGAGAACCATTGAAACACATTCTAAGGTCCTTCTTGGGGAAAAGAAATTGTTTCTCCTTCACCTCATCTGGGAAGTCCAGCCTCACAGAAGACAACAGTTTAAATTCTACAGCACTCATGCTTCATTCAGCTGCTCCCATTGCTATTTCCTGTGCGACCAGCAGCTCGCCAAGATCCCAGCTCCTCTCCCTGGAAAGAGCATGCTGCTGCCCTTGGTGATTTGCACCCCACCTGAAAAGCACTGGTCTTTTCTCAGCCCAATTTACCATTGTCCTTGCTTCGCTGAAGTTCTCCTCACTCTCTAGCAAAAGCTGCCTGTGTTCTAACTGTGTTCTCTTTTTTCCCACTTCCTCATGCTGCCCATCAAGGAGACGAACAGTTCCGAGGAGTCAGAGTGTGATGATCTTGACCCTAATACTAGCATGGAGGTAGACACAGCTATTGTTGTCCTATTTCCTACAGTGATTGTCTTTTTTAATGTGTTCTGTAAGAGTAACCTTGCTAAAGTCACCAGCCAAACAAAATTGTGATGTTAGGACACCCCTGGGTGTCCCAACTTCGGGGCAAAGCAAAACTGAATTCTGCTCAATTTATAGAAAGCTCTACCTTGCTTATCTTTTTAAAAACAAAATTGTGTGATTCTCTCAAAAGCTTGCTTAAGATTTTCTTCTTTGATGGGTTTGGCTCCATGTAGAATATACCTGACTTGGTTATTGGGATCTTAGAATGAGCACATTTTTTCATGGAAAATAGTATTATAAAGAGTGATTGGTTTGCAGCTAAAAGACAAGCACCCATTAGTTTTAGTTCCTCCCTCTTTTGTGTCGTCCTCCTCCCCTTTCCATCTTTCTTTCCCCTCTACTATCATCCTCTGGTTCTACTAGAATGGATTCCTCCCCCAAGGCGCCATGAATTCCTGTGTTAAGTGTGGATGTGCAGGTGACCTGAGCTCTCGCCTAGGAACTGCTCGCTGATGTTAATGAGGTGTGACAGGAGTGACTCCGGAAACTGCCCTTCCCCAGCCCCCCGGAGCTCCCCACAGCGGCTTGTACCCACAGTGAAAGAAAAAAAGTCCTGGGGATACCTGCTTCCCATGGCCTTAGCCAGGCTTCTAGACAGAGGGGCAAACACTGTCCAGGGCCATGACTCACACTCTGGGCTTAAAGGGATGTAGAAGTGGAACCAACAGCTCCACCAGCAGAAACTTCAGCCAACTTCCAACTGGAAATAGGCCTAGTCTAGCTTGCCACTGGGTGAGTGACAGCCTCCATACGTTTACAAATGCTAAAGAAGCAGAGCAGACCTGGAGCTGCTTTTCTGGCCATTTTGTCTTTTAGCATCAAATCATATTGACTGGTCCAAATCTGTATCCGCATCCCTGTAACAGATAAAAGCTTAGAGATTTTTTTCTAATAGTGTCGGGGGTGGGGGAAGGAGATACTTTAAACTTTTCCTTAACTAGATGGACTCTTGTTATTCTAATTTTACCTAATCCCAAAGAATCTATCACCGTATTATCACAACTACCACAAAACCCAGGAGATGGCTTGGCCAGTGTATGACCCAAGAATGTTGGCCTAAGAAGGGTAAGTCAGCTCTGCAAGATACCAATGGAGTTGAATAGGGACAGAGACCAGTGGTTGAAAGCACAATAAAATAGTCCCCTGTGGATATGGGCATTGCCACAGAGCTAAATCCGGCAGACGTGGGTTATTGCAGTACTCCACTGTGGGAAGAGCTGGGAACAGTACTCGTGGCCCAAGTGAACCTTAGCAATCAAGTCAGCAGAAATGTCTGGCTTGGCTTTCCTTGTGCTCCTCGGCCAGATCCCAGCTTCCGTGGAGGCCACATCTCCCACTTGCAGCTGTCTGGTGGTGCTTCCATCTCCTGGCAGTGTTGCCTGTGTATATCAGAGATGTCACCTGCAAGTTGAGAAAACAAGCAGAGAAAGGGAAAGAGCCAGATACCTGCATTCCAGAAGGCAATGTGAGACCTTCAACTCTGGTGACCTGGGGGGAGAAGAGTGACCTTCCCATTCTGTTCTTTAAAGGAGTAAGTGGAAACAGAGGGATGTGGAGACAGGTGAGCAGTACACACTGACGTTAGCTAATGGGATTGATGTCGTCTTTTGAGTTCCGGGTCCTTGGGTTCACTGTGGGAAATGTTTCACCTGAGCTCCCCTTTCAGCGGCACACAGCGAGAGTCTTCACAAGACAGAGATTCAATTATATATATATTTTTTAAAGATTTATTTATTTGTGCATACAGAACTGGGTGCAGGCAAGAGGCTCAGGGGCGGTGAGAGGCCTCACCAGAGACAGAGTGGGGAACAGAACAGGCAGATCGACGAAGTACACTGCTGAGAGGAGCAGCAGGCGGGTCAGGAGAGGTCTGCCACGCCATGTGGTCACCTCCAGGGCAGGCGGGAATCGAACTCATGCCGAAGCAGCTTTAGATTCTCAGTGCTGTGCTTTAACCAGCTGCGCCACCAGGGAGGGCCGAGATTCGGTTATATTTAAGAGGAAGTTTATTAGAGGCGGGCGAGGGGAAGCACTTGGAAAGGTGCAAGTGGGCAGGGAGAGCTGTCCTGAAAGGGACAGGTTTGCAGGGAAAGAGACCTGCGTGGTTGCAGGCAGACAGTCTTAGGAGAGTTGCCTCCACTGCGGGAGGTCAGTGCAGAGAGGTCCCGGCATGGTACAGGTCGCGGGCAGGCAGGAGGCTGCTGCCCTGCAGAGGGAGAGAGTGGGCAGAAAGAAGCACCTGCATGGGCACAGGTGGGCAGAGGAGCGGCTGCCCCAAGCTGGTGGAGAGACTGCCCAGATATAGACAGCTTCTCTTTGGGAGGGGCCCCCTCCTTGTGAGCCCAGGTTTGTTGGCTTTGAATAGAATCTGAGAGGCCCTGAGATTCCCCAGTGAGCTTCACCTCCATCTCCAAGTCCTTGTCCTCACCTGGGCGCAGGCATCCTGGCTTTGGTGCCCCAGGATCTTGATGTTCTGGCTGTGTCAATTGCTGCACCAGCCCCTCTACCCATCCCTTTGTGGGGCTCCGTGTTGTGATGCCTCCTCTGCATTCCTTCCTCCGTCAGAATCAGATGCTGCAGTCGATAGAAAAAATGCACGTGAGCACCCATGTGCAGCTTAGCCTGGCTTTGTGCTTTGTGAGTTGCTCAGGTTTCTAAGGTTCTTATTCATCCAAGGCTTGCAACTCTGCATGGGCAAAGTGACATGAGTCCCAGAGAGATAATATGCGTGCATACGCAGAGGCATTGGCATGTCGATGCATGTGCGAATAATTTTCAAATACTATAGTTGAGGCAGGAATTTCAGTTAACTGGAACACTCAGTGGGGCCTGTGGTCAGTAGCTGCAAATATTCTGACTAATCAGACTTCTGTGCTGTGTTGGCATGCAGTTCTCGTACGTTCTGTGTTGATCCTCCCAAGTATCAGCGAACTCTCTGAACTGTGTTGCCATCTTAAAGGCAACTTTGAGCACAGAACCAGGTGCTTAGAGAAAGCAGGCTTCTTGGTTCTGCGAGGTCAGTATTTGTAAACACAAATAACAAATGGATGTGTTCAACATGAATTAAGAATTTTCTCATTGCCATTGTTGCCGTGCTCACTACAGAAGAAGAGAAAGGTACCTCCTGACGAGAGCTAGCCTCAAAGACCCAACGTGAAAAACAGATGGGCAGGCTACCTCCTGAAATTCCTTATAACTAGAGTGAGAGTTTTGGGGATCACTACCAGGCTCAGCCTGGCCCCAACCTCACTCTCATCTTCTGAACCTGATTGTTTTATCTTCTGGCCAGGACCTGTGCCAGCAGCTCCTGAGCCCACAGCCTTGGCTGGTCTGCCAGCCACGTGTGTGCTGCACATTGCTCCATCCTGGGCCTCTGCTAAGACCCACCCTCTGGCTGGCTGGCTATCCTTGACTTGAGGCCAGCACATTGATTCCAATCCTAGTTGTGTATGTGGCTGTAGGTGGGGGCAAGAGGTGAAGGGGTGTTGGGTTGTCTATCTCCTGCCTTCACATGAAAAGTGTTGCCAAAGCATTCTTTTTCTGTCAGTGGATGGAAGGACCCCTGTACATAGCAGTTCCCTGGGGTCTTTGTTTACACACCAGATGCTTGCTACCCTCAGGGCTGACATATGTCCCACCCCAGCCCATTGGGGGCATCTTTGAAAGCTAATTAAAAGGAGAACAAAGCACCTTAAATGCTAGGAATCTGATTTACAGAACTTTCCAAGACACCCAGTTATGGAAAGGGAGGCAATTATGCTCTTATATTACATCCTTTCTCTTTCCCCTAGAAAGATGCTTATGAATATTCTCAAGTGAAAGTCCCTCTTCCCAGCCCCAGACCCCACAACAGCCCTGCAAGGTTGGCTCCAGGAGGCCTGTGTGAGTGCCTTCCTGTTACTCACAGGAAGCAAGCACATCTCACAGAGAATCGCTCATCGTTCAGCTTACTTTTTTTTTATATATAACAGTTTATTTTTACATCATTTTGCACATTTTTTTTAATTTTTTTTAAAGATTTAGTTATTTATTCAGACAGAACTGGGGTACAGGCCAGAGATGTGGAGGGTGATAGGATTCACCAGAGACAGAGCGGGGAGCAGAACAGGCAGATCGACGAAATACACTGCTGAGGGGAGCAGC